TGATATTTTTTCAAGGTTAAAGTATCCTTCTGTAAGAATTTTAACATAAAAGCTAGTGCCAGAGTCTTGTCTCTTAATGTGTACAGGCACAAAGAACAAGAAATGTCTTGTACACTCCCCTGCCCCTTTGCTAGCTCTAGTGTTTGTCTTTTACTTAACAATAACCATTGCAAGCCGCTTCTCTACCAAGTTGAGGACTCCTCTTAACTCCTGCCTCTCCTAGAAACTTTTAGTAGATTCATTTAGTGTTGAATGTAGTCTGTGCATTAAGTGTGGCTACAGCCTCACTTATTCTTTTTTCTCTACACTTACTTAGCCCTCTGCCCAAATTTGGCTAATTACTAGCCTGCAATATACAATGTTAGGGAATATAATTTATTTTTAAAGTCTTGATCTGTCCTCTAAGCAACATTTTGAGTTGCTGACCACAGACCTGCTTTTACTTCTCTGTAAAATAGCAGTGGGCTGTGGGTATACCTCGATTGACAGAGTGCCTGCCTAACATGCAAAAAAACAAAACAAAAACAAAAAAACACAGTGAGTTTCATCTCCCACATTTGTAAACAAAGTGGTGGTACAGGCATATAATTCCAGCACTTGGAGACAGAGCAGCCTGGGGTGAATGAGGCCAAGTATCTAAATAAACAATACTAGTACCTCTTCAACAGGTGACTGTGGAATAAAGATATCACCCTACACAGCCAGTTCAAACCCAACCTGAGCTACACCAGATCCTGCTCCAAAACTAAAAAAAAACAGAGCAGAATAAAATAGATGTTGGCAAAGTGCTTGCTATATAGAATCATCCTGTTGTCTCAAGACCACATAAAAAGCAGGGACACCTCTAATCCTAGTGCTGGGGAGGCTGAGACAGGAGGATCCCTGGAGTTTGCTGACCAGCCAGTCCAGCCAAATCAGCCATCTCAAAAAAACAAAAACAAAAACAAAAACAAAAAAACCCAAAAAGTGGCACCAGGCACGGTGGTAGCACATACCTTTAATCCTACACCAACAAGACAGAGGCAAGCTGATCTCAAAGCCAGCCGGTCTACATAGCAAGATGTATCTCAAAAATAAATGAACTAGGACAGCCCATCTGCACATACATGCATACATCAACACATACAAAAAATTAAAACAAGCAGCCACTTTTCATAGCAGCTTGTGTAGGGGTTTTCCTATGTGAAAGCTACTTGGTATTTGTGAATGAGTAACTCAAGCTTCATGTACAGAGTTCTCATTTCTCTATTTAGCACACAATTATGTGCAAGTGACCAGGAAACTATAATATAGCAGTATTTAATTCCTATTTGTTTCACCATTTCTCCTGTATGGGTCTGCAAGATACTACTTAAGATTCTAACATTTCTTGTGCCATTAATTCTGACACTTGGGAGGCAGAGGCAGGTGGATTTCAGTGAGTTTAAAAACCCCAACCCTCCCTAGATTGCTTTTGTTGAGTATCTTGTGTAGCTTTGGCTGGCCTCTAACTTGCTGTAAAGCTGAGGCTTTGAAGCCCAGCAAAACCTAAAACGCCAAACTATGTGGTTGGGACCAGAAACATGGCTCAGCTCTCAGAATCCAAGTTTAATTCCCAACATCCATGTTGGGCATCTCATAACTACCTGTAAGTACAGCAAGGGATATGTCTTCTTCTGGTGGATATGCCTATGTCAAAAATTCACACAAATACACATTAAGTAAATAGTATAACTTAAGAAATGTTAAAAACCATGTGGCTAGAGAAATATTTCCTAGAAATGCTATCCACACACTAAGTACTCTACATAATTTAACCAAACATTTTTTGCTTCTCCAGCTTTTGTATTCATTATGTATATGCATGAGATATGTGTGCCACATTTGGTAAGGGTGCCCTTAGAGGCCAGAGGGTGTCAGATCCAGTGGAACTGGAGTTACAGATGGTTGTAGGCTACCTAATATGGTGCTGAACTCAAGTTCTCTGCAAGAGCCCTCTGAACCATCTTCTAATCCAAACACATTTTTTTCTCTTAAGAAATTGGCTTTATCTTCAAACTCATTTTCCATAATATAAGGAAATCATTTAACATACCAGGAAAAACAAGTTTCTGGAAAAACCAAGATTGTGTTAAGCTATATGCCAAGCATTGTATACAGGCTTTAATTTCCTAACTATTTAAAATTTGGAAAGCTCTAATCAGTCTTCTCATCAAAGAATAGTTTCTGACATAGATAAATATGTATAATGGAACCAGACATGGCGGTACATGCCTGCCTGTGTTCGAAGTCATTTGGCAGGTGGATGCTGAGAATCAGGAGTTGAAGATCATTCTCAGCATATTGTTTGAGGCTGGTGTAGGCTACCTGATTTGCCCACCAAACAAACCCACAAAAAAATCCAACTAAAAAGAACAAGGAAGTCTGATACTCGAAGAATCCATTAAATAAAAAGCTATGCCACAAAATATTAATTGAAGATGTGTTACATTTGTTTAACTCTGAAGCTGTGCTACTTTTCCTGTCTAAAACACTAAGAGCTGAACAGCCAATAGCAAAGCAGGAGGAAGGATAGATGAAGCTGGCAGGCAGAGAGAATAGGAGAAATTTAGGCTCTAGAAAAAAGGAAAAGTAGAGGGACGAATGAGAAAAAAATGAGAGGACACCAGGGGCCAGACACACAGCAAGCCGAGGAGTAAGAAGTAAAGAAAGTTATATAGGATATAGATAAAAGCCCAGAGGCAAAAGGTAGATGAGATTTAAGAAAAGCTGGCTAGAAACAAGCCAAGCTAAAGCCAAGCATTCATAAGAAAGAGTAAGACAGCTGGGCAGTGGTGGCGCACGCCTTTAGTCCCAGCACTCGGGAGGCAGAGGCAAGTGGATTTCTATGAGTTCAAGATCAGCCAGGTCTACAGATGAAGTTTCAGGACAGGCTTCAAAGCTATACAGAGAAACCCTGTCTCAAAAAAAAAAAAAAAAAACCAAAAAACCAAAAAAGAAAAAAAAAAAAAAAAAAACTGTGTATTTATTTGGGAGCTGGCTGGCAGGCCCCCAAAAGAGTTAAAGAGTAAAAAACAACCAGTTACAACAATAACTTTTATTGTGTTCAATTCTAGATTAATCCATAATTTCTGATTGTTTCTACAACAAATAAAACATACTTTGAAAGTTTTCCAGTTAGAAAGACAAAACTCTACAGTTTGTCTAAAAAGACTACTTTTAAGATATGCATTATTTTAACTATTTCCAGTCTATTTGCTTCTTACATTATTACATTTTCTCATTTAGGTCAGTCACCTTTTCCGTGTTCGTGCATTTAAGGAGCCTTTTGGAAATGAACTTGTCGTAGTCTTCTGTTTACTAAAAATCTCCTTAGAATGCTGAGAAATCTCTAGATAGCCAATATGTTTTCTCTTGGGAACAAACTTCAAAGCTTCTTCCCAGCTGCCTGTGTTTTTCATGCAGAGCAAAATACGGAACACTTGATCTAAGGTGAGATTTTTGCTACCGAGGTCCCACTGTAAATACTTATCTAGTGGAAGGCGTTCTGTTGCTATATGTTGCCGTTTTGCCTTGGCTAGGGATGTGCCCGTCTGAATATTTTTATCAACAAATGATCCAATTATATAAATTTTATCGTGCTTGAAGGTAGTCATAATATTGGGAGAATCTGCAGTTAAGTATATAATATTGTCCTTTGGAAATAAATCAACGGGAGACTTTTCTGTTGCTGTTAAGAGCAATTTGTCCCACTTTCCTCCGTAACGTTTAACTAACTCTCTATGATAAGCACTATCTATTTTAAGATTGCAGAAATAAATGTGGAAAGGATCAATATCTCTTCTGTTCCATCCTTCACTTTCTAAAAGTTGAGAAACAGCATTCCGAATTTCAAATGGTTTCATATAATTTTCGTAATCCATGTCAAAAACCAAAGGCTGTCCAAACTGCATAGCCTGGACACCCTTCCAACCCATCACAAAATTCATTTGCCGGTCCCAGAGTCGAAGAAACATAAAGTCCTGTTGTTTTTCATCTGTGGTGGTTTCTACCAACCTGGCCTTTTTTGCTTCTTCTCTGGCCTCTACTTTCTTTTCCTTCTTTGCTTGGTCAGCTTTTTTCATTTTTTCCTTGGTGAACAAATACTTTAAATATTTTCTTTGGGCTGATTTAGAAGGACATTCCGATATGATTTTGAGTTGTTCTTCAGTGATATGTTCTGGTACTTCTTTGCCAAGCAATCTCCGCATCTCAATCATTTCTCTGGTGGCAGCTAGAACACCTTCATCTTTGTCTGAGACCACTGAAGAAACACCATCTTCTTGAATGCTAGATTTCATTGTAGTTTTCCACCCATCTAGTTCTAGCTGTTTAGAAGGAGAGGTACTGTCCTTATGACAGGGCAAAGAAGGTACTTTGGAAGACATATATCTCTGTAGAGTTGTTGAATATAAATTCCTTTTCTTCCCATGAGGGGTAAATGGCACCATTAATCTGGCAAAAGGTCTTAAGAATCGGACAGTAACATTCATTTTGAAGAAATATGAGGAGCTCCTATAAAAGAAAAATGAAATTAAGTTAAAGATTTTAAAACTTCCTAACTGTGAGTCTGGTTTCTTTCTCTCTCAGGCAGACTAGATGAGATTTACTAGTAAACATGACTGGTGGGGTGGACTAAGTACAGTGGAAGACATTAGGAAAGTTGGGTCTGGCACTTCCCCCAGGGGATCACAGTCATGGACAAGCCACCTGTCAGCAACCATGACTTTAAATTCATCTGCATTAAACCTGAAGCACTACTTCTCTAAGATGTGATCTTCCAGCTGTCAGAAAAACTGAAGTTGGCTCAACACAGAACCTCACACATTCCTTATTCTGCAGTTTGGTGTGAATGGACATGATGGCCTGACCAATGTAAACTCTGGCCACTGGGCCTGGGACATCTCAGAGAAACCTCCAAGTACTTGTCTAGAGCCTAGGGTGGAAATAGCATTGAGATAACACATGATTATCCACCTGAAAACTGTCTCCAAGGTCCCTTTGGGCAGCCTGCGCATTCAATAAGCTGCATATGCCACCAAGGAGGATAGTGTTTGCAACTATTGCACACTAGACCCCCATGGGGAAAGGAACCTGGTTGGCTTCATTGGCTGCAGAAGCAACTGATTTCTGAAGCACAAAGGGAAACCTCTGAACAACTTAGATGTTGCACATCACTAACTTAATTCTCTCACATATTACATCCCAACTGCAGTTTCCATTGCCCCTTCTCCTCCCAGCCCCTCTCCACTAATTTAACTCCTATGGTCCAAAACTTGTTGTGATCACTTACTGGTCAATTTTTAACTTTTTTATTTTTGTGAGACAAGGGTCTTTTATGTTGAACAGGCTAATTTTAAACACATCACCTTGAGTGGTCTGTCTCAGCCTCTGAAATAACTGGCACTACAGCTATGTATCACCACATGTTTTTATTTTACATATGAATTTCAACATATTTTTAAACAAAAGTTGACTCAAATATCCTTTTTAGATTTGTTATAGAAACAGGCCTAGAGGATCAATGTAACTAGATAGGAAAGTTATAAGACAATTGTAACTACAAGATACTGTAGTCTCCTTCACATACATATCCAATCTCAAGATCCTTCATGAATACAAAAAAGGAGGAAGACAAAATAAACAGGGAAGTTACATAAGATGACACCTAATAAAAGATAAAGAGATGCCACAGATGTTTTTGTGCTTCCAAAACAGAAATATAGAGCAGCTGATTAAAACAAATGTTTCAGCTCAGACTTCATAGCAAATATTGTAAGATAAAATGTTCAAAATTGGTGTGTGTGTTTGTGTGTGTGTGTGTGTGTGTATCTCCATAATTTTATCTTAAGTACCTATATGTTCCTTCCACAAGACAATGAAGATGCTTAGTTTGTTAACTGATGCAAAATGTGAGGGGAAAGAGAAAATTACTGAAAAAATCCCAACCTTTAGCTTCCTTGCACACTCCTAAATGTCCTTGCTGTCTCTGGCCTGTGCAGATGCCCAGATATACTCCTCCCACCCCCAAATAATCATAATTTTATGTCCCGATAAGTACCAAGTTCATTAATGTGGCTTATAAGCAGGTTTTCATAATAGCATTCCTTTGCCTTTTCAGCTGTACATCTCTTTACCATTTCACACTTTCAACAGTCCTATTAGTTTTCACAGCACCCTGTGTCTATGACCATGCTTGCAACACTCTAATATTTGTTTTCCCCACGAGAAGCTAAAGACTATATTCCATTACGATAAGGATTATGTTAAACGTTCATTCTCACAGTTAAAAAATGTTCAGAGCCAGGCTTGGTGGCACACACCTTTAATCCCAACACTCCAGAGACAGAGGCTGATGAATCTCTAAGTTTGTGGCCAGCCAGGGATACAGTAAGACCCTGTCTCAAAACACAAAAACCAAGCCAGGCGGTGTGCTCGCCTTTAGTCCCAGCACTCAGGAGGTAGAGGCAGGTGGATATCTGTGAGTCTGGTCTACAAGACCTAGTTCCAGGTCAGCCTCCAAAGCCACAGAGAAACCTGGTCTGGAAAAACCAAAAAAAAAAAAAAAAAAAACCAAAACCAAAACCCAGCCCAGGTGGTGGTCTCCCACACCTTCAGACCTAGCAACTGGGAGGTGGATGTCAGTGTGTTCAAGACCAGCCTGTTCCAGGACAGCTAGGACTGTTACAGAGAAATCCTGTCTTGAGAAACCATTTTAAAAAAAACATTCAAACCTTAAAGATTTAAAAAACAAACAAACAAACAAACAAGAAACTGACACCGAACTTTGAGAAATATTTAGCTTAGGATCTTCAGGACCTGAATTTGACAAAGGGATTTCAAAAACATTATCTTGGGCCAGGTGTGGTGGCATAGGCCTCTAATCCCATGAGATCCTGCCTCAAAAAAAAAAAAAAATTATAAAAACAAAATAGTTGAATTTTGCCTTTGCAGTGTAGAAAGATTTTGTAATAGTACAGAAATTAAAGCCTAAAAAAAAAAAAGAAAAATAATTTTTGCAGATTCTCCACTCTTTAGCGCAAGCTGGCCTCAAACTCCAGACAGATCTCCTGCCTCAGGCTCCACTGGCCTGAGATTATAGGCAGCCCCGCCACACTTATTACGGAAACCTACTTAATTTTTCTTTTTAAAGAGGTGTATGTGTGTGTGTGTAATTATGTACGCGGGCACGAGGTCACCTGGCCAGGGTTACAGACACAGTTGTGAACTTACAAAGTGGGTGCTGAAAACCATGCTCAAGCCTCTGCAGGAGCACTAAACGTCTCAAACGCTGACCGGGTCTCTCCAGCCCCGCATAACTTACATTTTAAAGCAAATAACGGAGACAATTTTGGTAAGCCCGGCTTTGCTTCAGGCAGTGTATTACTTACAAAATCACAGCTTAACACACACGCTCCACAACCTGCATCCGGGAAAACCACGCAGGCCGAGGACACCGGCTGCGGGAAGCCCGTGGGCCAGGAATGCGGCCGAACGCGGGGACTCGCGAACTGGGCGAGGGCGCCTCCCCTGCACGCCTCACCGTGCGCCGCACATGCCGAAGCGGAGCCGGGGGTTTCCGCTGCGGCCGCCGGAAATCCGGCACCGCCGGAAGTCCCGCCTCGTCCTCTCGGCGCTGCCTCTGATGTTTGTCCCTGCCAGCGGTTTCCCAGCTTGAAGTCGGTCCGCGGTCTGCCAGTGAGCCCTTGTGAAAATGACCAAGGCCGGCGCTGGTCATCGGCGCCCCGTCACCCTACTTACTAATTAGTTGTTAGAACTCGAATCCCCTTAACCGGTCCTCAGCTCGGCTGCTGTGTTTGTATGTATGTCCTAACAAAGCGACCTGAGCGCAGATCCTGCAGTTCTACTTTAAAATTTAATTCTAGCCAAGTTTATCTTTAATCTCAGCACCAGGGAGGCAGAGGGATCGCTTAAGTTTGAGGCCAGCCTGATGTACACAGCTAGTTCCAGGACAGCCAGGGCTACACAGGGAGACCCTGTCTCAGTAAACCCCCCCCCCAAAAAAAACAAAAACAAACAAAAAGATTGTTCAATAGCGTTTGAGACAAGAAGGAGACCCCCCCCACACACACACACACACACAGCGGGGGACTGCTTTCCAACACAGGCAGAAAACCAGCAAATGACCTTTGCTGGTGTAATCTTTACGAAGAGAGGGAAAAAAAAAAAAAAAAAAAAAAGCCTGGCTTTGGTGGCAGCACTTGGGAGGCAGAGGCAGGTGGATCGCTGTGAGTTCAAGACCAGCCTGCTCTACAGAGTTCTAGGACAGGCTCCAAAGCTACACAGAGAAAAGCCCTGTCTCGAAAAAAATGAAAATCAAAACGAGAGAGAGAGAGAGAGAGAGAGAGAGAGAGATCCACCTGTCTTTGCCTCCGGAGTGCTGGGATGAAAGGCGTGGTCCACCAACGCCGGGCCAAAGGGGGTTTTGATTGCTGGACTTTAATACTTCCATAGCTGGACCTTGGTATTCAGCCTCAGGGGGAGGAAGTGGCCAGACAAGGAAATAGAGCTTGATGGCTATCTTTAGGAAGGTAATCTAATGGTTTTTTAGCAAGGCAGAGGGGATGGGAGAGAAGGGTAAGGCCTGCCAGAGCCATCCATGCTCACCATGCTCCATCTAGCCAGAGTCCCTTCCATATCAGTAACCACTGAAAGTAAAAATCAATAATTCATTGCTAGAGGAAAGGCAACATTTTCAGCTCATCAAGTTCTTTCTGTGGTAAACCATGCTAAATTAAGGGCTTCATAATGATATTATTTTTCTCCTCTAAGGTAAAGACTTCAGTTCAAAGTAATTGTGAATGATGTACAGTACAGTAGCGACAGACTAAATATTTGAAAGGACAATCAAAAGGCATGATGGCACATACCTTTAATCCCAGCATTCAGGAAGTAGAGCAGCAGTTCTCATCCTGTGGGTGGAGACCCCTTTGGGTGTCAAACAAGCCTTTCACAGGGATCACCTAAGACCATTGGAAAACACTGCTATTTATAATACAATTCATAACCATAGCAAATTACAGTTATGAAGTAGCAACAAAAATAATTCTATTGGGGGGGTCACCACAATTTTAGGAACTATATTAAAGGGTCAGAGCATTAGGAAGGTTGAGTGAGGTGGAGGCAGTATGATCTTTGAGTTTGAGGCTAGCCTAGTTTTCATACTGAGTTCCAGGCTGGCCAAGGTTACATAGTGAGACTCTATTGAAGAAGGAGGAAGAGGAGGAGGGATGGGAGGAGGAGGAGGAATGGGAAAAGGAGGAAGAGAAGAGGATGATGAGGAGGAGGAGGAAGAGGAGAAGGAGGAAGAGGAGGATGAACATATACAAATATGGATAAAACTCTTCTACAGCCTGCCCAGGTAACCAACTCTTATCTGAAATAAACAGCCCAGAAAATTATCCTGGCATGAGATAGACATATAGGAAGCCTTATTTCTTTCTTCCTTCCTTCCTTTCTTTCCCTTCCTTCCTTCCTTCCTTCCTTCCTTCCTTTCTTTTTGGTTTATTTATTTAGATTGGAAATGAACATGCTGATACAATATCTTTTCTTTTTTAAATTTAGTTTTTACATTCTAATCCCAGTCACCCGCCATCCTCTCTTCCCACTCCCCACCCCCACCACTTTCTTCCCACCTCCTATCTGCTCCTCAGAGAGGGTAAGGCCTCCCCTAGGAAGTCTCCTAAGTCTGGCCCATCATCTCATTGAGGCAGGACCAAGGCCCCTCTCCACCCCCACGCCCCTGTGTCTAAGCAAGGTATCTCTCCATATAGAATGGGTTCCACTCAGTCAGTTTGTTCATTAGAGTTAGATCTTGGACCCACTGCCAGTGGCCTCGTATATTACCCCAGCCACACCATTGTCCCCTATATTAAGGGAGTCGAGTTCAGTTTTATGCAGGTTCCCCATTTGTCAGACCTCAGTCAGTGATCTCTCACTAGCTCAGGTCGGCTGATTCTGTGGGTTTCCCCATCATGGTCTTGACTCCTTTGTTCATATTATTGCTCCTCCTTCACTTCAGTTGTACTCCAGGAGCTCGGCCCAATGGTTAGTTGTGGATTTCTGCATCTGCTTCCATTTGTTTCTGGAAGGGAAG